CTGCCTCACAGATGAACAATGAGCTCCTGCCTCAGGATAATTTCAGAGGTACTAGATGCAACATGATGTCTAAAATCCCACCATTAGAGATTGGCCAAACTTGCCTTTGGAGAAGGTAGCCTTTCTGCTTCATTTGATCAAAACAGTTTCAAGGGTCCAAAACAGTTTCAAGCACTTTGGACACAGGACTCTCTAGGGGTGAAAGGCGGTGTTAGATCATTGTCCATCTGTTTTTCCTGTGTAAGCTCAGGTCTTATTGAGACAAAAGGAAGAAGGTATAAGGGCATTTGTTGTCTGAGAGAGTGAGAAAGTAGTAGTCCCAAGTGAAAGAGAGAATCGAGAGCTTATTCTGAGGCCAAGTATACTCTTTACCTCTAATACAGTCTTGGTCGGAGTCAGCCCTGGCACTAGACAGCTTCTGTCCTCTGCACTGCATTTAGCTGCTCAGAGCTTCTGATTCCTCTCTCAGGAATTCAGAAACATTAGCCAATCAGAGTTGCTTTCACGTTTTGGAGAAATAATACACAGGGACCATTTAAGACATTAACGATTTTATCTCTGGTAATAATGGAATCTTAGGTTTTCTATCAAAGTGGTGACACTTGGGCTCAACTGCCTTAGTTCTAGTCACTGAACCCTTCTGCTACTGGGTGAGCTTTCTTTCTTCATACATTTGGTATTGCTGGGTGCCCCAAAGCTAGTTAGAATTCAAGAAGGGCTTGTTGAATAGTCTTTGGCACTGTTCATTCATTCATTCATTCTATAAATATCACTAAGTGCCGACTATATGCCAACACCATATAGATGGTATTTCCAAGCTACATTTCTCTTTTACTCAAGAATTCAGCTTCACCTTCCTTGAAGACTTTCTACATCAATCCCATCTGGGTTGGGTACTTCAGCCACTGCTTTTCTGCTTGAGAGCCTTCACATTTTCCCCGTTTTCCTGAACATGGGCACTTCCATGGCATTCCTGTTCGGCTCCTTGACAGCAGATGTGTTTGCTCTTAATCCCCCCCTACTGACCTTTCTTGATCATGGCTACCTAGGGAGTTTAAATCGTAAGCAGAGAGATAGGGTAAAACATGTTTGAAGCTTGTTTGGCAGCAGTTTCCCAAATGGACTGTTCTTCCATGTGGATCTCAGGAGCTGCTGGTTGGCTCCTGCCCTTCCACAGGTTCTGGGAGCTATCCCACCAATCTCAGCAAGCAAGCTGGAGTTTCAGCCTGCCAGTTTCCATCTTGAGCTGTTATTTGTGATCCACTCTTAGTATGTGGTTTTCCCCACTCTGCTATAGCTATCAAAGACACATGAAGTAAAGTGAGGAACAGGACTTACTGTACTTTTAAAAATTATTATTCCTTGTTATCCAGAGAGTTTTGCAAGAATTAAACGGCATAATTAGGCATGGTGCTTGGCATATGTTAAGTGCTCAAATGTAATTATTAATCTGTTCAAACTTGAGGTGAATTTGACAATGTTTCCTAGTTAACTAATTTAAAACTTTGCAAATGTTAAAGGATATAGATCTTTAAAAATAAAATTATGCTTGGCTCGGTGGCTCAGCCTGTAATCCCAGCACTTTGGGAGACCTAGGAAGGTGGATTGCCTGAGCCCATGGGTTCAAGACCAGCCTGGGCAATTTGGCGAGCCCTCACTGCCACACTAAATAAAAAAAATTAGCTGGGTGTGGTAGCACGAGCCTGTAGTTTCGGCTACTTGGAAGGCTGAATCCAGCAGGTTGACTCTGGGGTGGCTGAGCCCAGCAGGCCGACACTAGGGTGACTGTGAGCATGCCACTGCACTCCAGCTCGGGTGACAGAGTGAGACTCCAACTCAAAAAAAAAAGAAACTGTGACTCTTGTACACATATAATATGAATGCATGTCTACGATTTTCTTTAACTACTTAATTAATGAAGGGACTAGTTTCAAATGAGAATTCAAAAAGTAGAGATAGATAGATAAATAGATAGACATGTGCCATGGAATAAATTTACAAATAAATACAAACAAGTTTTAACTGAAGCTACTCATTTTTCTAAGGACCATAACTCATTTTCATAGCATAGCTATAGATAAAAATCATTTGTGTTGATGTCGGTTATCTACAATCTGCAAAGTTTTAAAATAACTATGATACAATGAAAGGTACAAACTGCATAGAAACCAATAACCCAGAATGATGTTATCTGGCATAGTTTTCTATGGAAGACACCCAGTGTAATCTTTTAAATTGGTATCAAAGTCTTTAACAATTTTTCTTGACATGTGAATTATAAGAAGAAGCATTTTGCTGAATTAAACCTATTCTCCTTTATTTAAAATAAGCTTTTTTCTCATTATAACATTACATATTCCAATTATGAAGCACTTAGATAATAAAGTATAAAGAAGAAAACAAAAATCCTCATAATCTTACCACTCAGAGGTAACTACTATTAACACTTAAAGCATATCATCGTTTTTTTCTATGTATTTATGTGTGTAAATATAGTAACTGTTTTCAAATCAGTTTGTTGTTGTTTTTGTTTGTTTGTTTGTTTGTTTTAGTCAGAGACTTACTCTGTTACCCAGGCTGGAGTGCAGTGGCATGCTTATGGCCACCACAGTCTCGACCTGCTGGGCTGAGGCGATCCTTCTGCCTCAGCCTTCCAAGTAGCTGGAACTACAGGCACGTGCCATCACGCCCAGTTCATTTTTTGATTTATTGTAGAGATGAGGTCTCTCCAAGTTGCTCGGGCGGGTCTCAAACCTGTGAGCTCAGGCAATCCTTTCACCTCGACCTCCCAAAGTGCTGGGATCATAGGTGTGAGCCACTGCGCCCAGTCTCAAATCAGTTTTAAAAAACTTTGTTTTAAAAAGTTATCTCTATAGATTCAAGGTGTTATATATTCTAAGGATACATGTATCTATATCCATCCAATTGCGTTATATAGTCTAGGTTGTCATTTACATTTCCCCTTAATAGAATAAGCATTTTTTACTTATCCTCATTATTTTTAATAGCTATAAAATATTCCATTATATGGAAGAACCACAATTAGAAATTTCGGATATAATTAGTTTTTAGGTATTATAAATAAAAGACTGTGCCTGACTTCTGACAACTTTCTCTTGCAGTGGTACCAACTGCACTGAAAAAGTCAAACATTTTGCATGGTGTCTGAGTTTCCAAAGGATGTTGAAATCCCTAAAGAGCTTGACCTACCTCTTCTACTTTAGCTAACAGGCCTACCCATCTCATCAGTGGCAGACAGGGGATTCAAATTAGAATTAACAGAGATCCAGAACCATACTTGTCACTTTCCTGAGACATACCATAAAGATTTAGCCATATTTGAAAGTTTAAGATATGAGCCAAGATCATCATAAACTTTGACAATTAAGTCCCTTTAATTCAAGATAATATTGCCAACTCCAATGCTTTTAAATACAAAGATGTTTATAAGGAAAAATACTTTATTTAGGGCTTAGTTTCTTAGAATGAAGAGCCTGAGGAAAAATAGAGAAAAAATGGTTTTCAAGTGGGTGACAAATTGCCAAAACTTCTCTTGATTTTTCAGATGTTGAGTTTTTTATATGGGATTGTATTTGATTAGAAACAGCAACATATCAACAGGAGCATGACATGCAACAACTGATCCTCCTTATTAGAATATCATATTTAGTTTTGCTGTCCTCATTCCAAAGAAGATTTGAAAAAGATACAGAGAAAGGAAATCATTAAAAGCTAAGAGAAGGACTGCAAAGCCTTACAGGTTACCATTTAAGGGAGGTGGGTGCTGAACTTGGCACAGAGTAGGTGCTCAATATTTGCTGAAGAGTAGAGGGAATAAAAAATTGACAATTAACTGTGTGATTTTCAGAGGGAAACACTTAAGCTCATGCCTTCATTTTTTTATTTGTAAGGTCTATCACATTTTGCGACTGTTCATTCAAAGATAATGTAAGAAAAACGCTGACCATAAAGAACAGACTTTCTTCATCCAATAGGCTTCAAAAGGAGCCACAGGGGTTGGTTTGGGCTAAGAAAGGTACTGTTATAATAATAATCAGATATTTCAACAAGTTTTGTAGGGAACTTATGGAAACCATATCCATAGAGAACTCCAAAAACAGTACAGACAAGGACAGTGTAGGGATCCTATAGGCGTAATACCTCTTTCAAAAAACAGAAGGTAGACCAGATTCAATTTTCAAATATTCTCCTCAGTTCAATAATGAAATGAGGTAGACTTTTTGCATGTATAAAACAAATCAGTGTTTTTTTCTACAAAAGATGCAACTGTAATTTGAAGCTTGCTACCTCTCAAATGAAAATTACAGGCTGGGCTCTGTGGCTCAGCCTGTAATCCCAGCACTTTGGGAAGCCGAGGTGAGTGGATTGCCTGAGCCTGCAGGTTCGAGACCCACCCGGGCAACTTGGTGAGACCTCATCTCTACAATAAATCAAAATGAGCCGGGCGTGGTAGCGCATGCCTGTAGTTCCGGCTACTTGGAAGGCTGAAGCAGAAGGATCGCCGGAGCCCAGCGGGTCGAGGCTGCGGTGGCCGGGAGCATGCCATTGCACTCCAGTCTGGGCGACAGAGTGAGACTCCAACTCAAAAAAAAATAAAAAAGAAAATTACATAGGATGTAAAATCAGGCAAGAACAATCGAGGAACATTAGTGTGCCTACTACGTGCTAAGCATGACCCAAGTGGACGACACTGACTTGGGCGCTGTCCGAGACAGAGCATTCAATGGGATGGATTGTAGGGTTGAGATAATGTAACAATTCTCTTGATCTTATGTTCCTTCTTGCCACTTCTGGCAAAACCCAAGCCATGAAAACTACCACCTTATGTTGATTCCTCCCAACAGTGACCTAGAATTGCACTATTTCTCTGGTACAACCTGTCACTCTTTAGTGTTCGTCACTGGTTAGTACTCAATTCATTCCATTTAACCTTTAATCATCTACTACTTGCCAGCACTTTACATAGCACAAGAAAATACCAAGAGCACTTTCTCAAGGTGCTGCTGACTGCCCTCTGGATTCTGTAAATAAGCAGGTCTGCCCTTATTCTTCTCATACTCCCTCCTGGGAAATGCTTTGAAATGTGTGAAAACTACAGCCATATTTCCCTTTTCATGAAACTGAGCATGTCCAGCTGACAAGGAACCGAAGCCACACTGACATGGAGATCCCAACGGCGCGCCTAAAAGATGGCACACCAGGACAAGTCCCTACTAACATTTTCAACAGACCTACCATTCATCCATCAACCCAATTAAATGTGAGAAGCTGAATTGCCATTTTAGGTTGTTAGAAGGAAGAAAACATAACCATGTCCCATAGCACACCTCTTCCTTGGGGAAAAAGATATTCAACTTCAAAAACAAACCATTATTCAGTTACACACTTTTAAAGTATTACAAAGAACAGTGAGATGGAAATGGGGTGTGTAGGCGGGAGGTGTTCCTTGCTGTTTTAGGCTGTTTTGTATTTAATTATACTAAGAAAAAAATGTCAAGTAAAATCTTAGATTTTTCTTGTGCTGTATTAAATAATTTTAGAGATAAGACATATCTGTAATTTTTTTCTAATGTAGAGGATTTGAAGGAATAAAATCTGGCACAAAACACAGACAAGTAATAGTAATATAAATGTGTTTATTCCTTGATTCTCTTAACAACCAAGCTATAAAATGGAATTCCTTTATTTTAAAGCATCACTATCTGTACCATTTATTTTTGTTACCAATGTAGCAAATAAACCTCCACTTCCGATTTCAGGACATTTATCTAAGAATGATAGCATTTCTTTCCAGACAAAGTTTGAGTGAATTCAGAAAAAGGTAAAACAGTGATAGTGAGCATTTTTCAGAAATAGCAACTTCACATTAGAAACTGCCTCTTACCTTCAAAGAATTGCTGCAGGGCCTCATTTTCGCCTACCACATCCATGGTGCTATGGTCCCAGGACTATTTCCTCATAAAACCAGAATTATCAGACCTCAGGAAGTATGTACTGTCCTCTCCACTCAAAGCCTATAAATGCTCTTGCAAAATCTTCATTTTCTTTTTATTGGAGCGTAGCATATCTTCAGCCATCAATTTGTGCCCAGAAAGATGGTAAAGTTCTCAAGTGTGATTAGAAAACCAGAAGGATATGCAAACGTGCAGGGAAAAAAAAACATCATAAAGAGGGAAGTTGTAGCAAATCCATCTATCTTAATGTAAGAAACTGTTTTCTACTCTGCCTTTCGTCTTTGTTTTAAGGACCTTTGTCCTTAGTGACACATGTAATTACATAAATGGGCAATAAATACATAGCCTTATCTCTTATTTGTCCTTTTACACCAATATATTTATATCTCCACCTTTATCAACCAGATCCATTTAGCCACCACCAAGCAAAGATAGTTATTTTTTTAACCTAGAAAAGGGGGGCAAATCAATACAATTGCTTTTATAGACGTCTAGAGTACAGGTAATTTTAAAAGCCTTGTAATAATGAAAAGTTAGGATTTGTTAACTCTTTCCAAACTTACTCGTAGCAAAAATCTTACATTCCTCAATATAAGTAGACACACCTAGTCTACTTCCTCCAGAGCTTTTTTGTTTCAAAGTATAAGCCATAAAGTATGTGAAGTCCCTCTAATCAGCAACAAAAACTTCATTATCAATTTAATAATTCTTACAACTGAGTGTATGCTTCACTACTAGTTGTTTTCATTCCTAAATATAAAGACATAACCAAATAACTGCCTTGTCTTCACTGCTTACCTGTAATTTATTTCATAATGGCCTAAAAAAAAACACAACTAGAAAATTTAACTATCCTTTCAGCCTCTTCCTTTTCTCTTTTTTCTCAACACTTTATTTTGAAAAATAGTATGAACCTATAGAAAAGCTAAAAGAATAGTACCATGAAATACCTGTATACTCTTTCCTAGACTTACCAATTATTATCTTGACAATTTTGCTTTTTTTCTCTTAATATACACATATCCTTTCTTTGACTAAGTCATTTGAAAATAAGTTACTGATATAACCTATAAGTCAACCTAAATAACTCAGAATATGTCTCCAAAAATAAGTACATTTTCCCACATAATCAAAATATCATGCCCCAAAATATTACTTTAATACTATCATCTCATATATTATTTCCATCTTTCCAAAAATATATTTTATGACTTTTTGTTTTCTGAGTAGGAAACCAGTGAATGTTCATGCACTGACTTTGGCTGTAACTTTTAAAAATATAGAACAGTCCCTATACCATTTTGGTGGATTTATTTGCTTTTTATTATTTTGACCTTTTTTCTTCTTTACAGTCCAGGCCCATTGCCCTGCAGAATGTCCCACTTTATGAATTTGTCTGTTGTTTCCTTATTAGAATGAGAATGGGGATGTGATATACTTTCAAACAAGTATTCTCAAATTTCACACATATATACTGTTCCTTGAAAGTGAGAAAACTAATTTTAGCTCAGAAAAAAGAAGATTTAGGAGCCTCTGCTGAAGATTACATCAGGCCTCAGGTCTATAAGGACAAGTCATCAAGTTGTTTAAAGAAATGAATTTCAGTTTGTTCCAATTCAATTCAACTGTGTGAAGCTGTCTGCTAGATACAGGAAATAAAAAGGTGAGTAAATAATAGACGCTGTCCACCCTAAGTTCAAATCTAGGGCATGAGAAAAACACAAGTAATTATAACTCAAGGCACACTGATAAAAGCTGAGGAAAACATATCAAGAGAACAAAGAAAGAAAAGAGTAATTTACTCTGAGAGGATCTGGAAAGGCGCCACAAAGAGCTGGAATTTGAATAGACTTAGACAATAGGTAGGTTTCTTAATTTTAATTTTGTTCATATTCATATGGGAACATAGTGACGTTTTGATACATAAAATGTTAATGTATAGATTTGATTAGGGTAATTAGGATACCCATTAGCTCAAACATTTCTCTTTTCTTTGTGTTAGGACCTTTCAAAATCCTCCTTCTAAGCTATTTGAAACCATATATTATTGTTAAGTATAGTCATCCTACAGTGGTACAGAAAACTGAACACTAAGTATACTTTTAAAAACGAGCAATGGACCAGGCCTGTAATACCAGCACTTTGGGAGGCCAAGGTGAGAGTATTGCTTGAGCCCAGGAGTTCAAGACCAGGCAGGAATGTATAGCAAGACCATGTCTCTACAAAAAAAAAAAAATTAAAATTAGCTGGGCACCAGGTGTGGTGGCTCAAGCCTGTTAATCCCAACACTTTGGAAGGCCAAGGTGAGAGGACTGTCCGAGCCCAGGGGTTCAAGACCTCGTCTCTACAATAAATACATAAATTAGCTGGGCGTGATAGTGCACACCTGTAGTTCCAGCTACTTGGAAGGCTGAGGTGGAAGGATCACCTGAGTCCAGCACATGGAGATTTTGGTGGCTGTGAGCGTGCCACTGAACTCCAGCCTGGATGACAGAGTGAGACTTCAACTAAAAATAATAATAAATTAGCTGAGCATGGTAGCATGTGTCTATTCCCAGCTACTCAGGAGGCTGAGGCAGAAAGATTTCCTGAGCCCAGAAAGTTGAGGCTGTGGTGAGTCGCCATCATGCCACTGCACTCCAACCTGCGCAACAGAGTAAGACTCCAACTCAAAACAAAAACAAGCAAACAAAAAAACTAGCAATGGCTTGAAGGGAAGAGAGCACAGGTACAAAGACTGTGCCTACACAAAAGACTGTGCCTACACAATGAGAGAGGAGATTAGAAAATAGATTGTTCAAGACCCATTATCAATTTGGCGAGACCTCGTCTCTACAATAAATCAAAAATTAGCCGGGCGTCATAGCGCGCGCCTGTAGTTCCATTCCGGCTACTTGAAAGGCTGAGGCGGAAGGATAGCCGGAGCCCAGCAGGTCGAGGCTGCGGTGGCCGGGAGTGGCCACTGCACTCCAGTCTGGGCAACAGAGTGAGACTCCAACTCAAAAAAAAAAAAAAAAAAAAAAAGGAAAATAGAGTGAAGAATGGTGATCGAGTTTTTTCTTATTCTTTTATTTTTAGGAATACATAATAGTTGTACATATTTATGGGGTATATGTGATATTTTGATACACATACACAATGTGTAAATGTGTAATAATCAGGGTAACTGGATATCCATTACCTCAAACACTTATCATTTCTGTGTGTTGGGACGATTCCAAATCCACCCCCTTAGTTATTTTGAAATATATAGCAAATTATTATTAACTATAGTCGCCCTGTTGTGCTAGCAAACACTAGATCTTATTCCTTCTATCTAACTGTATTTTTGTACCCATTAACCAACCCTCCCTTCCCCCAACTCCCACTACCCTTCCCAGTCTCTGATAGTCACCACTGTATTCACTACCTGATGGTGGTAGATTTTGAATGTGATTTGAGATTCCACGCATATTCATTCCACGTGTATCTGTTGATGGTTTCTATTTGGGTGGATGTGGGGCATGATATAATTGGGGCAGTATCCAAGTTAGACTAGTTAAGGAGCTACTGCAAGAATCCAGGTAGGCAGTAATAACGCCTGAAATAAGATGATACAGAACCAAGAACTGGCTACTGAGTATCGGGAGCAAGGATGAAGTCAAAGTCGTTTTTTGAAGGATGCGTATGACTTTAGGTAAAACATGAATTCAAATGCCCCAAACATGTAGCCTCTGGCTAAACCTAGACTCCAAGGGAAGCTCCCAGCCAAGTTTCTGGAGGCTATTGGAAGTAAGTCATCAAAAGTCATCACACTATAATCTGCTGCTAAATGACGATTCTGGATCCTGTCCAGCAGTTCACCTAGAGACCTCATGTTCTCAGCAGCAGAGTAATGAGTGTCAGGAAACATCAAAGAGAAAGAAGTGAAATTTTTATTTAATGGCCTGAGAAGCTAAAGTTAGAATTGGGGGTCCGAAGCTCCAAATACGCCTAGGGTCACACAGATGAGTAAAATGTGTCTCTTAGCCTTCATATCAGAGAGACAGTCCAGTAGGGTGGGACACTAAGCCATCCAAAGAGTGGATGTCCTGCTAAAGGGTGTGACCACCCAGCAGGAAAGTCACTTAACTTCATCCAAGTGTTGTCATTCAAAAATTCAGGTTCAGTGTTGTCAAAACGGTCAATTTTAAAAGAGAAGCTTGAAATGCAGGTTCTGATTTTATTTTTTAATTTTATTTATTTATTTTTTAGTTGGAGTCTCACTCTGTCGCCCCAGGTTGAAGTGTAGTACACGCTCATGGCCACCACAGCCTCAACCTTGGGCTCAGGAGATCTCTCCACCTCAGTCTTCCAAGTAACTGGAGCCACAGGTGCGCACCACCATATCTGGCTAATTTTTTTGTGTATTATGGAGACGAGATCTTGTCATGTTGCCTAGCCTGGTCTCAAACCCTGGGCTCAGGCAATCCTCTCGCCTCTGCCTCCCAAAGTGCTGGGATTACAGGTGTGAGCCACCATGACAGCCTCTAATTTTAAATCTCATTTTTAAGTGTCGGCAACTAATTTGTTCACAAAATGAACAGGAAAATAAGACAAAACATTGTCAAGGACAAATAGCACGCACGTGTAAACACAATTGAGTCTGCAGGCTTTCAGGATGCAACCTTGATATCAGAGGCTACAGTACAACCAGGAACAGGGTTTGCAGAAAGTGAAGAGAATTTAGAAGGAAGTTGTTGGGAGGACTGGAAGATATATCTGTACTGACTAGAGTCCAGAGCTCTCAGCTGAGAGCACAATCCAGCTGGTGGCAAATGGGATTTAAGTGGAAATTCCTCACTCTCAGTGAGTAACAAATACGACCCATATGTCCTGGATTATAGTCTTTACATCTCTTACAATTTCTAGTTCTCTTGAGGTCCCCATTTTGCACAAATTTGGTGGAGATTCACCCTCTTGAACAGTAATCTAATTGAGCTGTGGTTTGGGTTTGC